GCAGATCATCCACATCAAGCTCGCCGACCACATCGAGCAACACCAGCTCCAGCTCTCGCCAGCGCCGCCCGCAGCAGCGGCCCTTCAAGCGGAGACGCCATCAGCAAGGGCCTTTGCACCGTGCAGGCCCATGGTCACCACTACCATGTTCTTGCTACACCTATTCTCAGGAAGACGTCGAGTGGAGGATTTCCAGCACCACTTCGAGATGAACATTCGGGAATGTAATTTGATAGTATTATCAATCGATGTGCAGATCGGCCCCGACAAAGGCGACCTGGCCATGCCAGACGCTGTTGCCTTTTGGTGCGCGGCGATACGTCAGGGCAAAATCTTCGGCATCGTAGCAGGCCCCCCGTGCGAGACGTGGTGCTCATCACGTTGGCACGCCACCGAGGGAAAAGCCCCGCGCCCACTACGCACCCACGACTTTCCCTGGGGCATACAAGCAGCCAGCCAAACGGAACTCCAGCAGCTAGCACTGGCCAACGAGCTCTACAGGACAGCCTTACTACTCATCACCACGGGCTTGCAGTACAACGTCTCCGCTATACTCGAGCATCCTGCCCCAGCTACCTGGTGTCCTCAAGCGCCGAGCAGCTGGCAGCGAGCGGAGACGCGGTGGCTGTTGGAGCAGACGAACGTTGAGCTACACTACATCGACCAGTACCAGTTTGGGCAGGCCGCGCGAAAGCCAACGTGTCTGCTGGCGGCACGCCTCAGCGAACTCACGCAAGAGCTTGGGGCAGTGCCTGGTGGTCAGCTGTGCCGACATAGCGGACACGATAAAGCTTGCGGACGCGACGGGCAGGGCGGCTGGAGGACCGCCCCTCTCAAAGGATATCCTTCGAGGTTGCGCAAGGCAATGGCAACGGCCTTCGCAGCCCACTGGGGACAGCTCGCTGACGAAGATGCACTGTGGGCCGAGACAAATGAATACTATCACAGCTTCTATGCGCCACTGGACCATTACATTGAGCCAGAACAGCTGGGGCACGACTGTCACAGGGCATGGGGTAATCACCGGCGCTAGTATCGACACGCAGTAGCGCGCTGTACTACGGCGACCAGCACGGCGGGGTGGATCACCACAGGTTCGGGCCCACAAGCTCAGGCAGTACCACGTCGACCTGCACAACTAATTCGCGAATGAAGCGATATTTTGCAATATTACAGATTTTGCAACACGTCCAGTGGACTGGTTGGATTACTATTTTGCAGTACTCATCGACGGAGCGATCGAGGGCCTGCGTATCTACTGAACTTACGGACTCAATATTTGGCGTGACCAGCACGAACGTATGATTATGCGAGTATGGCTTCTTCATGGACTGCGATGGCGTGCCATTCTCGAGGGGGGGGGGACCGTAGCGCCCATACGGGTGGGCACGATCCCTCAAAGGCGACGGAGCGTGCCTCCCCTCGAGTATTCTTATTGGTATACTTATTGGTTTTGTCATGCAGCTCTGGTATGGGTTTTCTATGCGTATCTATTTCCCTGGGCAAAGGCAGCAAAGCGCCCAGTCTATCACTGTACGTGTTTTGTTATCTCTTGGCAGATGGGCAGCAAGATCGACTCGAGTACCACGGGCTCGTGCACCACTAAGGCAAGCAGCACAAGCAGTACTACGACGACCAGCATGTGGGAGCCGAGTACCATAGGCCAGCGCAGCGCTGAGACAAGCACCACCATGTCGACCAGCACGACTGTGCCGAACACCACAGGTGTGGGCGCCACTGAATCAAGCACGGCCACCTGTTCCAGCTAGACTAGGTCGAGCACCACAGGTACGAGCACGACCACGGCGGGTACTACAGGGCACTACGCGGCGAAGAGCGGCCTCGACGACAAGCACTACGGCGTCAGGACTCAAGTCCTGAGGAAGCCCCGAATGCGTGGGAAGACCTCAGGCAGCGTCGCCAAGTTTTGCTTGTGGCGTTAGGACGCAAGCCCTGGGGAAGCCCCGAATGCGTGGGAACACCCCAGGCACAAGTCGCTACGTTTTGCTGTATGTATCCAGGCGGTGATCGGACGTATACAACTCAGTGGTCACCAGCAGGCTGACGGTAGGCGACTCTTACGACCATGCTGCACCACCGACCGACATCAACCACATTCCTTGTACGGCCTACCACACCTCTTTACAAGTCAACGCTGCCCTGGTGAGGCATGGATCAAACTTCGAGACGGGCTCGAAGGGTGGGGGGGAAGGACGAGTAATACCCGCGCCTACCAGGGGGGATGGTGAGGGGCAGGGGGGGGGGGTAGGACGTCCACTACCTGCGCCCCCGCGATCCCTAGCTCGCCACCCCCACCATCCCCATGACGGAGGAGGAGCTACCCGAGCGCCCATGGGCGAAGCGCAGGGCAGCCGAGACATCCCACTCCGACAAAAATATGCACCAGGCCTGGGGTTCGCCCCCACCGAGGGCACCGTGACCCCTAGCCATAGCGGGACGAGGTGGGGCAGCCACGACCCCCACTTGAAGTCGGTGCATGGAGGCCTCATATGTGCGCCCACGACCACTACCACAACACCAGCAACAAGCCGACCTCCCAACGACCCATCAACCAGCACGCAGGACAAGCAACTTCAAGGGCTGGGGAGCCCCTCAACCGACCATCCACACTACAATCACCTCCCGACAGCAGCGCCGACCAGCACGGCCGCGTCGGGTACCACATGATCGAGGACAACTAATACACGCACGCTGGGTCGAGTACCACAGGCTTGACATCACAGTTTCAGGCTGTACTACGACGACCAGCATGATTGTGACGAGTACCACAGCTCGTGAACCACGGAGCCAAGCAGTACTACGATGACCTAGCACGGCTGCAGCGAGAAGCACCGCTCCGAGCACTGCAGAGTCAAGCAGCACCACTTGGCCTGCACGACTGGGTCGAGTACCACAGGTTCACGTACTACAGGGTCAAGCAGTACCACAAGTTCGTGAACTTCGAGAAGGCGCCGCCGTGCGGCCGACGGCCCACGAAGAGGCCGACGGCCTGGGCGACTGACGTCCGCGGCTGCGGGCGCACGCGGGCGTGAGCGCGCGGCCGCGGGCGCGCGTAGCGCCTGCCAAGGGCCCTGTCGGGCACTCTTTTTTGAAAACCCGGCCCCTTTCCCCTCCTCCGAGGTGTTCATTGGTCCCTGGTCCTCCCTCTCCCTCGGGGTCGGGTTCCCGGGGCCGCCGTCTGAGTGCCCGCACGGCCCTGATGGGCTGCTGCGGCGCGCTCCGCGCCGCGGGCGCAAGATTAGACGCTGCCTAGCGAGAAACGGCAGAAACGGCAGGAGGAGGAGGAGGAGGAGGAGGAGGAGGAGGAGGAGGAGGAGGAGGAGGGAGGAGGAGGAGGAGGAGGAGGAGGAGGAGGAGGAGGAGGAGGAGGAGGAAACAACGACGAGAAGAGATGATGTGGATGGGGGGAGGGGCAGGAAGGGTGGGGGCGAGCGCGGGGGGCGCAGGGAGGGGAGAGGGGGAGGGGCGAGAGGGACGGCGAGTGAGCGAAGGACGGAGGGAGCGGGGGAGGGAGAAGGAAGCTGCCGCCCACCTCCTGCTCTGAGAGCGCCTACCTCCCCGCCTCGCCACTGTGCGCGGAGGGCTGGGACGTCGAGCGCGGCGGGGCTCGCTCCCTCCCGCTCCTGTTTTGGGGGCGTCCAAGGGGTGCGCGTTCAAAAAGGGGGTCTCGCAAATCCGCCGATCCGGCGTGTGAGTTCTCTTACGTACAGTCTCAGAGAAATTGTGAAGTTTTAGCGATTCCACAAGACGGCCCAAGAGGCGCCCAAGACGGCCCAAGAGAGCCCCAAGAAGGCCCCAAGAGAGGCCCAAGAGGGGGAGCCCGAACCGATAATTCAAGCCTGCCTCCCCAAGATGCGTCCAAGAGGCCCCAAGAGGCCCCCAAGAGGCTCCAAGAGGCCCCCTAGACCCCAGAGGCCCCCAAGACGCCCCAAGAGGTCCTAAAACGGCCCCCACTAGCCGAGAGGCCTCCCACGACATCTCAACCAACATCCAATAAGCCTATGACCCATAACCCAGGCACTGTGGAGGGATGGGAAGAACGCCATTAGATAATACCCACAGCCACACCTCAGCTCCCCCCCAACAAAAACGAGCACACGAGCCTAAAGAACCCGATGACAGCTCAACAGAAACCCCACAACCGCCAAGGGTGCTTTGTTTCGCGTCTGTGCACCCGCTCGGAGCGTCCCAGATCGGCGGCACAGGCCGAATGCCACTACAATCATGGCTGGACGCACGTGCGCGGCCCAGGGGACGCCAAGGGACTGCACCCAAACAAGAAGAGGCGCCATGAAGTCTGGGCAGTTAACATGGCCCCGGCCGTGCTATCACCCCCCCTAGTAATCACCCCCCTCGTGGGCGACCGGACAGATGGCAAGACTGACCAACACCGAATCGGACCACTGGATTGAACCACAATGCGCGCTAGGTCGGGCCTGCATCGGCACGGAGACGAGGTCGAACCAAGTCGGCCGCGGCAGGAGGCACGGCAGCGCCCTGCAAGCATCGGGCCGCACCGCATCGTTTGGAAGCGCTGGTCGATTGAATCGGGCTAGGCGGGCCGAGACCGTTGTGGATCTCGGATCGGCCGGACCGGAGCAGGCCCGAGGGCTCTGCGTCCAGCTCGCGCCCCCCCCCCCCGATGCACGGCCTCTGCGGCCCGCCTTCTTTGGGTATCTGCACTGCACAAGCCGTACGCCGTCCGGCGCGTAGGCGGGAAAAGTATGACTTCAAGCGTTCACTGCCAATGCGCCTGCTAAACAGGGCAGTTGGAGGAGGAGGAGGGGGAGGAGGAGGAGGAGGAGGAGGAGGAGGAGGAGGAGGAGGAGGAGGAGGAGGAGGAGGAGGAGGAGGAGGAGGAGGGAGAGGGAGAGAGCAAGCCCCTTTCCCAGCCCCTTGCGGGCTGCGCCCTGGCCACCTAACTCTGGCGCGGCGCCCTCTGCCCCCTTGCACTGCCCGGCTGTCCCATTATTTTCTTTCCGCCGACACTGCGTGCGCGCGCGGCTCCGGCCGTGCGGGCGCCCGGCGCCCTGGCGAGTCGCTGGGCCGCTACGACCGAAACATAGTGTCTCTCTCTCTCTCTCTCTTTCTATCTACGCATGTATACACGTATAACAACACATGTATACATATATACAAATGCATATACACGGATATAGATGTGTATATATATATATATGTATACCTATTGGTAGATCGATGGATCTATATATATAGGTAGGTGTATATAGATTTATAAGTATGTCTTTATGTTTGTGTTGTTCTCTATCTCTCTCTTTCTTTTGTTCGCTCTCTCTCTCTCTCTCTCCCCCTCTCTCTTTCTCCATATTTCATACACATACACTCTCTCTCTATTTCTCTCCCTCTGTTTCTGGAGGCGGGATAAAGGCAAGGCGAGAGGGAGGGGGAGAAGGGAGGGCAGGAGAGGGGGAAAGGGGGGAAGTAATTGTTGGAGGCTCTCGGCGTTCCTCGGGAACTCTCAACGGCTTTCGGAGGCGGTCAGCGGTCTTTCCAACAATCAGAACGAGCAGGAGGAAGAGGAGGATGCAGAAGGAGGAGGAGGATGAGGAGGAACATCAGTAGCAGCAGGAGCACGAGATGGAGGAGCGGGAAGAGCAGCAGGACCAGAGGAAGGCGGAGGAAGGGAAAGGAACGGGGAGACAATGATGAGGTCCGCGCTGGGACGAGATTGCCATTCTGAACGACGGGAGCAAAGTGCCAACCCTAAAATGAGGCCTACGCTGCAGCGGGAACACCACTTCGAAGCACCGAGATCAATACAATGTGTAAACCACATACGGAAGCAAACGTTCGAAATCCTGCGCGCACCACGCAACAGGATCCCATCGTGTTGCACGCAATCTGAAAAAGGGAACTGTGCACGTTGAATCACGTGTCGGAAGAGCAGGAGCACACATGAGGAGGAGGAGGAGGAGGAGGAGGAGGAGGAGGAGGAGGAGGAGGAGGAGAAGCAGGAGGAGCAGGAGGAGGAGGAGGAGGAGGAGGAGGAGGAACATCAGTAGCAGCAGGAGCACGAGATGGAGGAGCGGGAAGAGCAGCAGGACCAGAGGAAGGCGGAGGAAGGGAAAGGAACGGGGAGACAATGATGAGGTCCGCGCTGGGACGAGATTGCCATTCTTGCCATTCTGACGGGAGCAAAGTGCCACCCTAAAATGGTCTTACACCACTTCGAAGCACCGAGATCAATCCAATGTGTAAACCACATACGGAAGCAAACGTTCGAAATCCTGCGCGCACCACGCAACAGGATCCCATCGTGTTGCACGCAATCTGAAAAAGGGAACTGTGCACGTTGAATCACGTGTCGGAAGAGCAGGAGCACACATGAGGAGGAGGAGGAGGAGGGAGGAGGGAGGAGGAGGAGGAGGAGGAGAAGCAGGAGGAGCAGGAGGAGGAGGAGGAGGAGGAGGAGGAACAGGCGGAAGGCGCGGAGGAAGGTGTGGGCGGGGAAGGGAAGGGGGCGACAACGACGAGGCGGCACTCGGATCCAAGCACGTGTCCCCTGGATGTCGACAGGACGAACCCAAACCGCTGGGATCGCCACGCGGCGAAGGCAGCGAGTCCTGTAGGCTCACGTCGTCGTCGCCTCCCCCAAGAGGAGGGGAGGAGGAGGAGGAGGAGGAGGAGGAGGAGGAGGAGGAGGAGAACGAGGAGAACGAGGAGGAGGAGAAGGAGAAGTAGTAGGAGGAGGAGGAAGAGGAGAAGGAGGAGGAGGAGATGAGGAAGGGAAGAGGATGGGAGCTCCAGAGGTCCCCGGAGGCCTCCAGAGATCCCCTGAGGTCCCCACTCCTCTCATAGCCCTCTTCCTCCCCCTCCACCTGCTCCTTTCTCTCCTCCTCCTACCCTTCCCCCCCTCGTTTTCCTCCTCCTAGCTCCTCCTAGCTCCTCCTCCGCCTCCTCCTCTTCCTCCTCCTCCTCCGTTCCTTCATGAATAACTCCTCCCTGTCGCGCCCCGAGGCCAGCCGGAAGGGCGGGCCGGGCGTTCCGCCGGGGGCTTCCTTACCATTTATGAGCCTGGAGCTTAGAAGCTGGCAACAGTTTCACAGATGGAGGGCGGGGGGGGGGTAAAAAATGTGGCTCTCGCCTGAGCGCCGCGCACATTCGTTTCAAACATTTGTAAGAGATTCAAGGATTGAGGGTGGGTGGTTTTCAAAATGTGGTTCTCGCCTCAGCGCCGCGCGCATTCGTTTTGAACACTTGCAAGAGGTTCGCGGACTGAGGGCGGTTCCTTTTCAAAATGTGGCTCTCGCCTTAGCGCCGCGCACATTCGTTTTAGCAACTTACACGAGGTTCGCGGATTGAGGGCGGTTCCTGATTCAACATGTGGCTCTTGCCCTGGCGCCGCGCACACTCGTTTCAAGCATTTGCAAAAGTTTCATGAATTGAGCCCAGGTCATTTTCAACATGTGGCTCTCGCCTCAGCGCCGCGCACATGCGTTTTGAAAAATTACTCGAGTTTCACGGACTCTCATGGCTAACGTACCAGAAGTGGTGTTTCGAAACGATTCAGCATTGTCAGGGCGCAACAGTTACGTTCATTCGCGGTGCTGGAGTCCCAGGAATGGTGTTCTGGCACGGTTCAGGGTCGTCAAGACGCAACAGTCATGTTGACTCGTGGCGTTGAAATCCTGATAATGGTGTTCTGGCACGCTTCAGGATTTCCATACGGTTGTCTCCCAACAGGGCACTTCCCTCAGTGGAGATGAATCCGTTTAGGGGCCTATGAAGAGAGAGCTTGGAGGGAGAGTGTATTCCAACACCGTTGATAAATCTTGGGTTCACACTGGTCCTCCTCCTCCTCGTCCCTCCCACTCTTCCTCGCGCTGAGCGGGACACGGCTGCAGGCTCACTTCACCGCGCACCCAGGAGCGAGGACAGGTCCAGGCTGTCCCGGAAGTCATCGAGGAGGTCGACGGCCGATCGCACCTTGCGCGCGGTTTGTGTTTATGCTGTCACGCGTTATGGTGAAAGCATTGAATAAGGGAACCGTTGGATAAGGGATCCAGGTCAAGAAGCCGGTGAAACTCAAACCGTGCATTGGCCACGGATACCACCGCCGCCCTCATCAGATAAGGAACCCCCCATGGTACGAAGCCTCCTGGGCACATTCCCCAACGACCGCCCCCCCCGTACTACGGTCGGGAACTTTTGCTCAACGTGTCGCGGCAGCGGTCCTGGCGACACACTATGCCTTGCAAGCGGATAGCGTGTCGCTCCGCTCCGCGGTGCGGGAGGCTGGGAAACGTTCGGGACGCTGACGCTGGGCGGCCGGGAAGCGGGTAGCATGTCGCGCCGACGCGCGGTGGGCCAGAAGCGGCGGAGCGACGCGCTATCCAAAAGTTCTCGGCCGCATCACCGCAGCCCTCATCAGGTGAGAAATCCCCCAGGGTCTGAAGCCTCCGGGGCACGTTCCTGAACGAACGCCCCCCACTGTACTATGTTTGTTCTAAGCGCACCTCGTACATGGTGGACTTGTCGAAGAAGGCGACAGAGACGATGACGTTGACGTAGCCCAGGGCCACCGCGACGCAGGCCAGCACGAACAGCGGCGGGAAGATCACAACCTCTCCCCACTCAGGCGCGCGCTACAGCCAAGTTGCTGCAACAAGGAACGCAACACCAGGAGCGAATCCTGTTTTTGGCACCAAGAGGGCCTGAGTGCACGAAAAGGGCTAAACGAACAACCCCTGAATGACCTAAGTATGGGCCCCTTCCAAAATCAAACGTGTCCTTATTTCAGCGTCTGAACTGTACGGTCGGGGACTTTTGCTCAGCGTGTCGCGGCAGCGGTCCCGGCGACACAATCTGCCTTGCAAGCGGATGGCGTGTCGCTCCGCTCCGCGATGCCTGCTCTAGACAAGTCAGTACACGTTGGATCCAAAACACCTCCTTATGTCAGAATACGTAAATATGGTGCAGAGAGGCCTGTATCACAATGTCCGTTGATATCGGAATGCCCAAACACCCAATATTCCGCTACTGTTGGAGGTTCAGGTCGGGGCGCCCATAGACGACTAAACAGAGGGTGCCCTTACCCTGCTGCTGCCGCGTTTGCTGCGAAGTCACCCAAAGGCACCTGTCGGGCCTCTTCAAAGAAAGGACACACCCCCATATTCTTTGGAATGCTCCATCTTGCTTGCTGCAATATGGGCATGCGCCTGTGCGCAGGTACCCCCCTTCTTGAAGATGCTGTCCTGCTGTGTACGCTCCACAAAAAATATCGTCACATCGTCTCTTCTGCCCAGCTGTTAACCTGCGCGTTCTTGTTGGGGCTCGCTGGAACAACTCCCACCAAAGCCCAGTGGGAAGCGGTAGCTGATGTCTGTGGATTATGCCGAACATGCTCCCGAATCGTCTGATCGATGTAATCCGAGACGAATGTCTTGGTCATCTGCGGCGGTGGCGCGTCCAGCAAGCTGCGCGGGCGCCCGTGGAAATCTTCGAAAACCGTGGGGGGAGCGAGCAATCCGATTCCTGCGTAAAGCAATTTCAAACTCGCGCTGTGTGACCCCATCGCTTGCCCAAACAATGTTGTTTGCTTCGGTGGCCCGAAGATGTGCTCGTGTTGGTCGACATGTTTCGGCGAGCTCTTTGGGGATAGGGCGTCGGCGCGTAAGATCCCTTCATTCCTTGGAGAGGTGGCCGCCATTCCAATGCATTCCGTGCAATGCCTGCCGCTGCTAAGTGGAGAGGGCCCTTCTCCACCGCGGCAACTGACGTCCGCTGGAGGTCTGACTGGGCACGCCTTTGAAGCCAGGGAGAAGCTCTGGCTTGAGGGGTCCCGAGCATGCGTCCTTCGCCAGGTGCAAAGCCCGTTGTTGCCACGCCGCAATGGGTCGCCGAACGCGCGCATGCCCGGGAGAGCCTGCCCGTCACCTGCTTGATCTTCGCGCCCTTCATTCTAAGACGCCCGTTCGACTTAGCTGGGAGCGCGAGGGGCCCGCGGTCGCGAACTGCTCGAGCTTGGCTTGTCTCCGCATGCTTCCCAGCTTGAAAATCGATCCCCAAGTTTTCAGCTGCCCATGCCTCGGCCCCAGGTAATTCCCGAAGCGCCGCTTTGGCTTTGTCAACAATTCTGGCGCCGCTGCCAGCGACGCTTATTTCGGGCATCGCTAGCTCCAACATGACGTCGTTTACCTCCTGCTCCGCCCTGCGCGCGCGCGCCCCCGGGCCCCCCGGCGCTCCTCTGAGGGGTCAGCCCGAGCAGGAGAGGGCGAGGTCGTCGACGCGCAGGGAGTTGGTGCAGTCAGACGACGGAACTACATCCATTACTGGGATGAGAAAAAAGCCTGTGCTTCGTGCGTCGCGGGGCTGCTGCCCGCCGTCGCCCCCCTTGCTAAGCGCGCCTGCCCTGAAGAAAGCCCCGCCGAGGAGGGCCCAGCGAGGCCGGCGCCGAATGTCAGTGGAGCAGGTGAGCACATGCAGCGGGCACTAGCTACTCTGACCATGCTTCCACATCGTGGAATGGTCCATCGTTTCGTAGAAGCTCATCAGATCCCACGAGACTGCTGCATCGTGCTCTACGCGCGCGGCTGCTGCACTACGAGCTGCCTGCCTCCAAACCGAATCCCCTGGGCCCCTGCTCTGACTAGCGCTGCGCTGAGGTCCCGACCCGCGCCCCCGCCCCCGCCCCTTGCGCTTCTTCGCCGAGAACTTGCCGCGAACGCGCGCCGTGACTCGGGGGGGGGGGGGGGCAGTGCATATCCCCCCCCCCCCCTTCGCGTTTTCAGCGCGAGTAGTAGTTTTTTTTTTTTTTTTTTTTTGTTTTTTTTTTTTTGTTTTTTTTTTTTTTTATGTTTCTCTTCTTCTTATTCTTCTTATTCTTTATTCTTCTTCTTCTTATTCTTCTTCTTCTCTTTTGGGGGGGGGGGGGGGGGGGGGCGGTGCGTCGGGGGGCGGGGGCGGACTCGATGAGGGGCCTCGCGGACACTTCCAAGCGCTCGTCGCATCCGAACCCAACCTAGCGAGGGCGATGCCAATTTGGCTGGCAGGCGCGCCCCTCGAGAGCCGCTGCCACTCTCCCAATCGCTTCGGGGGGGGGGGGGGGGGGGGGGCGGCGGGGCCTGGGATATCGCTGGCCCCTCGCCACTGCAACCAATCGCGCTCAGGGGGCCCATCTCCCGCGGCAGCCCATTTAGCGGGCCGAGAATTTAGCCGCGCGCCGACGAGCTCCGCGAACGACGACGGGGGGCCGCGATCCGTGAAGGCCGTCTCTTCTTCGTGGTTGGCCCCCGACTTGAGGTGGCGAAATGCCAGCTGACCACCTCCTTCGCATGCCCTTTCGCGCCAATCTTCCCAGTTTTGCCGCTGCTCCCCCTCGTCCTTTCCATGGCACTCCACCAGCAAGTTGGCGAGGAACGCGATGGGGGGAGTTTTTTTTTTGGGGGGGTCACTGAGTTAGACGACCGAGCGAGCTCCCCTGCTAGCATCGACAACTGCTCATGGACTTCCCCCCGCCCCTCCAATGAAGACGATCTCCAGGCTTGTTGAGACGACGCAGGGGGCCCGCGAGACGATTCAGATGATCTCTGCCTGACTGCAGTGGCTAGCCCGTGGAAGTAGATGGCGCGTGCCCCGGCGAGCCTGTCCACCGCCCGCGCAGGAGCTCGTCGCGGCATCACCTTGTCCCTGCTGCTTCGTTCTCGACAGCTTGGACAAAGGAACTGCCTTGAACGTAGAGCGACTGGCTAGCATCTTTCCTTAGTCTGGAAATGATTGGATTTCCCCGTGATCTTCATGGCGACGCCTTACCTTCCACTTCTGATGCGCAGGGTCAAGCTAGGCCTTCTTGGCGATCAGACTCCAGTGGGTCGATGGGCGCGTATGTGTCCTCATCCGTCTGGAACCTTCTAGAAAACTTTGAAGCTCCTCCAGGGAGTCCGCATAACCTGGTGGAGCTCTCATGGGGCCCACCACTCTTGCAATGGGGTGCTCTGTCATGCGCTTCCGCAACCTGCGCCGCGATGTCCTTGGCTGCCTTGCTGACCATAAGGGCCACTGGCCCGTGAGGTTTCAGGGGGGGCGTCGAGGTTTGTCTCTACCTTGGTGACAGCATGAGATATCAAGTTTGAGACCGCGAAGTAGTCCAAAGACGACTGATGTGACCCTGTTTTTTTTTTTTGCGGGCATTATCTCATCAGTTGTGACTTGGCCGCCCAGCTGGATCAGCCCCACATTCTGAAGGAACTGCTGCGGGGGGATGTTGACACCACCCCCTATAATGTAGGCGTAGCCATGCTTCAGCATATCCAAGCAAAGTAATCGCAAATATCCCACATTCCCTTCGTCCACTCCGCCGCCGGACTTTAGGTGCGTGGACAATCTAGCAACTGTTCCATGACCTGCTGTGCGTATGAAACACTTAGATGCTCGCCCTGGGATTGCATATTCCTGGTTGGGGGTTGACCAAGCGTCTAAGTGCGGCTTCACAAAGATGAAGGTGACGCTAGATAAACCCCGCACTTCATTGGAAAGCCTTCAGCGCCCCAAACCATCCATCCTTTCCTCCTCTGCGCAGACACTACATCCTGATACTTCTGCCCGCGCAACGTATGCTCCTGCACAAGAATAACATCTGCCGCTTGTGGCCCCCCCGTTCCCCACGAGGACATGTTGAACGTGACTACGGTGAAGTCCGAGTGGGGCCGTTTGCCCGTGCGCCGCCGCTGCTGGCTGCTCCGAACCGACTCCGACGGCCCCGCGGGGCCCGAAGGTCACTCACATGGGGGCTGGAGGGACAGCTGCCGTCTCTGCTCCTCCACCTCCTTCTCCTGCTGCTTCTGGTGGTGTTGCTGCTGCTGGGCGGGAGGCCGAGGCTGATGCTGGTGCTGCTGGTGCTGAGGGCGGGGCACGTCCGCCTGAGCCTGCTGCTCTTGCTTTTCTCTGCAACATTCCTCCTCCTCCGCTTCTGCATCCCTTGCCGCCCTTGAATTCTCGTCCCTTCGCCAACGGCTTCTTCGCACACGCGCCTACCATTTGAGCATATGCCTCTGGAGTGGTTCCTGAAGGGACTGAGGCACGAACAGTGTGGGAGGACTGCAGCTTGACCATGAGGGCTCCAATGTCCAACTCGGAAGGCCTTTTCTAACCTTTGGTGGTGTAGCCTCTGACTTCATCAAGTTCCTCCAGGGTTTCGTCCGCATCATGTTCGCCAAGCATGGACGAGACGTCCATCCCCCCTTCCTCCACACGCTGATCCTGCTCTTTGTAAGCATGATGGCCGATGACACTGAGACGGGCATCCAACTTCTGCTGGGCTCGTCTCTGCCCTGGAACATGCACCTCAAGACGCTCCGCTTCCTGCTGCTGGGGCTGGGGCTGGGTGATATCAGTTTGCATTTTTTCTTCCTGGTCCATAAGAAAGTCCTTCTGACATTGGAGAGACTCCATGACTGCCGTAATCTCTCGAATATATGCATGGCGTTTCTACTGCCGCTTCTGCTTATTACTAATTGATATTCACCCGACGCATGACCTGTCAAGGGGGTTACTGGCTCGTTCGCTCTGGTTGGACCAACCCCACCACCCGCTCAAACTGGGAGACCACCGTAGGGCCGTAGGGTCCATATCTGCTTGCTTAAGTTGTGTGAGGGTGTGTTGGATATTTTGCTCTAGAAATTGTGGCCCACATCGACGAGGAGGGCGGCCCGACTTAAGTTTCGTGAAGGGGTCTTCTGTAAATCCTCGGTATTGGCACTGGCCGAAAGTTGGATCAGGTAGCCACCACGAGTTACCGTACCCTTTTTTCCACCTTGCCCACCTTTGCATTTAGTGTCTTTGCCTTTTCCTTTGGATTTGCCTCCCTTGTAACCACCTGCCTGATGTACTGGTCCTCCCCCACCAACTGCTCCTGCATGACTGCCCTGCCACGGGTTCCCCCAATACGCTGGATACTGAGGTCCGAAAACAGGCTGCGGCACAAACCGAAGGAGAGGAACATGACAGCGGTAACAAATCTTATACCACGGTGGGCTCTCTTGCTGCCACACTTTGCACAAGCCAGCCCTCAGTCGCCATGGCTGCCCATAGGGTCGCGCGAACACGGAGAAAGGGGCTGCGGCCCCACGACGCTGAAACAAGGGCTGAACCCCTTGAGCGAGGTTGAGCCGTTCAGGAGCAGGCCCCTTCAGCCAAAATGGCAACGGATTCCTCCTTCTGCTGCTCCTCCTCCTCCTCGTCCTCCTCCTCCGCCTCCTCCTCCTCCTCTCCTTCTCCTCCTCCTCCTCCTGCTCCTGCTCCTCCTCCTCTATGGGGTCCAGATAAGAACGGGATCGGACGACGGCGCCGCACCACCGATGCATGGCCGATGCACCAAGGGATGCACAGGCGACGTCGGCCATTCCTCGGCGAAGCCGGTGATGCATGCATCGGCGCCGTCGGCGTGGAGAAGGTCGAGCTCCACACCGAGCCGCATCGCCGATGCACCGGCGATGCGGCGCGATCCTCCGACCCCATCTGCCCGGACGCCACTGAAAAGGCCTGGAGATGGGGCATCCTCGGACCTTGCCGAATCGCGAGAGGCCGCGTATACCCTGCGCAAAGGGCGCCATGACCACGCCCACCACGCGCCACGGCGCCTCCGCGATGTCCACCGCGCGACTTATGAGGCCCGTCTCTGGGCAGATCCTGGGCACTTTCTCCTCCTCCTCTTCCTCCTCCTCTTCCTCCTCCTCCACTTCCTACTCCTCCTCCTCCTCCTCCTCCTCCTCCTCCTCATCATCCTCCTCCTCCTCCTTCATGCCGCTCCTCCCCCTCCTCCCTCGCGTTCCCCCCCCCTCCCCCTCCTCACTCGCGTTCCCCCTCCCCCCCCCTCCCCGAACTCATCCGCCCTACTTCCTCTCCCCGTCCTCCTCCTCCTCCTCATTCCCCCTCCAGAAGAAGAAAAAACGCCGTAAACGGAAACTTTTGGCGCTCCGCGCAGATTTCTTGGACCTGCGCTGGACCCCCCTCCCTGGCGCGCGGAGCGCGCCAGGGGGCGGCGCTGGGGGCGCCGCCCGGGCGGGCCCAGCGCAGACCCAAGAGATCCGCGAGGAGCTCCAAAAGTTTATGCTTGCGGCGTTCTCTCTTCTCCGATCCTCGTCCCCCTGCTCCTCCGTCTCCTCCTCCTTCTCCCCCTCCTCCTCCTCCTCCTCCTCCTCCCCCTCCTCCTCCTCCTCCCCTCCTCCTCCTCCCTCCCCCTCCTCCTCCTCCTCCTCCTCCTCCCCTCCTCCTCCTCCTCCTCCTCCTTCTCCTCCTCCTCCTCCTCCTCCTGCACGGGCCCACCTGCCGGGCAGGGCGGGTCCTGAGGAAGCTGATGCCGCGGCCGAGGGCGAGGGGCTCGCCGTCGACCTCTGCAGAGGCCGAGGCTGGCTCCACCGCCACGAGGCGCCCGACCCCCTCGTCTCCCTACCCTCTCCCTGGGAGCGGGGGGGGGGGACGACGACGACGACGACGACGACGACGACGACGACGACGACGACGACGACGACGACGACCACCACGACGACGACGACGACGACGACGACGACGACGACGACGACGACGACGACGAGGTTACCTCTCGAAGGTGTTCAGGAGACCGAGACATTCGAGTAGGGGATCGGCTACAGAATTGATTTACCCCGATACTGATTCGTTTGTCGAGTCCATGAGAAATGCGTAGAACGTTCGTAGATCTACCAACATTCTACGCATGACTCAACGAGAATATCAATTTGGGCGCAACGCAATTCTGCAGGCAACCCCCCACTCGAGACGCGGAGAGATACCACCAGCAACCTCGAGCATCGATTCGCGATCCTCGACATGGCCGCGCCTCCACGTGCCACTCCACGCCCACCGAGCCGCGGTCCTGGTCCTCGGAGATGCCGTCCACCTTGATGGTGATCTGCGGCGGCCGAACCCCGAGGAAGTCGCAGGCCCCCCTTGCGAGGGGGGGGGAGAGGGCGAGGAAGGAGAGGATGAGGATGAGGATAAGGATGAGGAGGAGGAGGAGGAGGAGGAGGAGGAGAGACAGGGTGAAGAGGAAAAGGAGAAGGAGGACGATGAGGAGGGACAGGAGAAAGAGGAAGAGGAGAAGGAGGAGGAGGAGGAGGAGGAAGAGTAGATGAAGGCGAATGGGAAGATGGATTAAGAAGATAAGAGGGAGAGCGGGCAATGGAGAACCCAGGCAGAACACAGACAAAGTAAGGAATTGCTTTGCGGATGTGGACGGAGACCACCTTTTTGGCCAGGCATGCCCCACAGAGCACAGCACTGGATGGGTGGATCTTTTTCGCTTTCTTATTACTCTTCGCATGTCCCAATTTTGTTGCTACGATGATAGCTTCGCATCTGCATTCACGGTCTCGTGTACGTGCGAGCATGCGATGCAGTGGCAGTGAGTTCTGGCATTGCACGGAGGACCGTAATTGTTTCAGGTGGAGCCCGACGTTTCTTCAGCAATATCCTTTATTGCGAGATGGTCGAGCAGTGTCAGCGGTCCTGATCGGTCCTGGCGCGTCTCAGGGTGCTTTTCCAAGGTGGTTACTCGTTTTGTCTGTCCCGCAGTGTCGGGCCCCGAGTTTCCAGTCCATCGTGCATACCGTTGCGATGTGTATGCCTCTCGCAGTGTGGGAGAGCATTTGCATCCGCACTGATGTACATGATCAGTCAGGATACGACGCTGGCAATACCAAGTCCTGTTGTTAGCATGGCACAATCGTTCGTCTCAGAGTGATGCCGCCCGGTTGAACAAGTGACGCTACCGCGTGGACGCAGTGGGGGGAAGAACTGCCAAAAGATGAAGGCGAGGGCGTGGCGTGGTCTCCTATCTTTTCCGTTTCGTTGCGCAGTTCGTGGTGATCCTGGAGGCAGTGGCAGAGTGCAGATTGTGTGTGTATGAAGGACTTTGTCGGACAGCTCAATGGCTCGATGGCTCCCTCCTCCCTTCTCCGCCCTCCATCCTTCTCCTCCCTCCTCCCCCTCCCTCCTCCCTCCTCCTCCTCCTCCTCCTCCTCCTCCTCATCCTTCTCCTGCTCTCCTGTACACGAAGACGGGATGGGTCTTGATCAGTTCCCGGATGTCGTCGCGCGACGTCGCCAGGGTGGAGCCTCCGAGCAGCAGGTCCTCGTACCGCACGTCGTCCGTCAGGCACGCCGCCACGCCCTCCGCGTCGCAGTTGCTGAACCTCGGGGGAGGAGCAGAGGAGGAGGAGGAGGAGGAGGAGGAGGAGGAGGAGGAGGAGGGGGAGGAGGAGGAGGAGGAGGAGAGGAGGAGGGGGAGGAGGAGGAGGAGGAGGAGGAGGAGGAGGAGGAGGGGGAGGGGGAGGAGGGGGAGGAGGCGGAAGCGGAGGCGGAGGCGGAGTCCGAGCGGCGGAGCGGGTGACACGGTTTGCCCCCCGCCGCTCGAGGGTCGAGGCGAGAGGCCCTCGGACGCCTTCGGCTCCTGTCGGTCCTCCCGAGGCCCCTGGGGACCTCCTGGGGGGTCCAGGATCCGGGGAGGGAGCGGAACTTACCAGGTGGAGGAGAAGGGGGAGGTAGAAGCTGCTCTCCCTCCCCGACTCCCTCCCTCGTCCTCCTCCTCATCCTCCTCTTCTATCCTTGGCGGCGAGCGAGGGGGCGAAGTGAGAAGGAGAAGGCCTTCTCGGAAGGCTCGGAAGTCCCCAGGGCTTCTGAGACGTTTCCTGAACCTTCCCCGAAGACAGACAATAAATTCTCAGAAGGCGCGAGGGCTTCTGAGAAGCCCCGCCGCCTTCTGAGAAGGCCTTCTCCTTCTCACTTCCCCCCCCCTCGCTCGCCGCCGACATCCTCTTCCTCCTCCTCGTGGCTGGGGAGGGCCTGGGAGGGGTTCGTGCTCCACGAGGCCCCCCCGTGCGGACCTCTGGGACGGCTCCACTGCTCTCGCCTGCAGGAGAGCGCGCAAGGCTTTGGAGTGTTGCCCTTGGTGCGGACTCGGCCGGGGTGGGCTCGGCGAGGGCGGAGCGCGGAGAGGCCCTGCCTCGGGCTGCGCGGCGCTCGGGCGTGGACTGAGCTCCGCGTGAGTCGGCCCAGTCCTCTGTGCGCGTTCACGTTGGGGCGAGGTGGCGGTGTGAGGTGTGCATCCAGATGGCTCACGGGATCACACGGGATTGAAACCGAAACACTCCATATCCAAAGAGAAGCGGGGCGGCGGGGACACGTGAAACAAGTAACTGACGTTTCGAAAAGTGGCGGCGGGACAGAAAAGCTCGTATAAATATGTTCAAACTCACAAGAAAATGACCTGAAGCCGAATCTCCTTGGAATCAGACTCGACATATTCTGGCGCCTTTTGGCGCTCCCAGGCGCTCGCATTCGCTCCCGGGCGCGCCCACCCCCCCGCCAGCACTCGCACGCGCTCGCAAGCGTGCGCATGCCCTCCCAGGCGAACGCATGCACTCTCAGGCGCCCCATGGGGCACTCGCAAGTACCCGCGAGCGCGCGCGGGTGCTCCCAGCCGCTGGAGCTCGCAACTCGTGTGAGAAAACAAACGCGGGGAACAACCAACAGAATGGCGGCGGGCTCGCCGGCCAAAATCAATTCAAAATGCCGGCGGCGAGGGAGGAGCCAGTCCATCCAGCACTCAGGTCACCGAAGAAACCGGGGTGGGTCCTCTCTGCTTGAGCTGTGTCGCACTGCGTGCTTACCGCCGCCTGCCTCCTGCGTGCCTTCCCCTCCTGTGCTCAGCTCGGCCCCCAAGGCCTCTGGAGCCTCGGGAGCGGCTGCCGCGGAAAGACTCGGGGGGGAAGGCGCTGCACGAGTCGCACAAGCTCGGTGAATGGGCTCACCAAGTGCTGCATGGTGTTCTGCCACGAGTGTGGCCGCTATGCGACCAAAGATCTCCGCCCCCTGGCGGTGGCCTGTCTCGGCCGTTCCGGGAAGGGGGCCGAGTCTCTCCGAGTTTGTCATGGCTCTGCCCAAGGAGGGAGGGCCCCCTCCACGTCGGTTCGTGCAGTGAGGCAGGCGCGTCTCGGTGCCGAGGCTCGGGCTCGGGCTCCCGCGACCGAGGGGCCTGCCGAACCTTCCCCAGCGGCTGACGTCTTGCCGAGGTGTGCCTTCGGGCGGTGCCTGCCTGGGGCGCTGCTGCACGGAGCCCTGGGCAGCTCTGAAGGTCTGCCCACCTCGGCGACGAGGAAGGCAGGACACGGTACCGCCCGATATTTGAAGGGCCACGGGATTCCCAAGGTCGTCGGTGTTGGTGTCTACTCTCCTCGATGATGTTGAGGTCCTGTGCTCTGCGCCGCGTGAACGGCATCATATTGAATTCTTCTAGTTGAATCACCCCTCCTTCTTCATCGTCCACCTCCTCCACCTCCCCTGGTGAGGGTAAGGAGGAAGGGGGATACGAAAGATGTGTGTTGAGGTGTTTTGCGGGATCTAGATGGATCCTCAAACAGTGCCTACACTGAGGGGGTCAAACTTGCTTTCTGATGTATTGGCGCTGGTGGCCAACAACTTCGTATGTTGCCAACGGTTCCTGGCAAACTCTTTTGATAGTCGGGATTCCGTATGCTACCAGCGATGACAGGCGGTTCGCGCCATGGGGTCCCTCCTCCTCCTCCTCCTCCTCTTCTTCCTCCTCCCCCTCCTCCTCATCTTTTTTTTACGTTAAACCAACCTGAGCAAGAAGCTGTGGCATCTGTGAGATCAGAAAAAGGAAAGTGCAATAACGATTCGGGTCAACAAACCTGGCGGGCGCCACGGAAAATATGAAAGCAAAAACACAGGAAAATAATTGGAATGAGAGTCGGCGCCCGCCAGGGGTGACGACACTCACCTCAATAGGAACTCGCCTCCATCATCACCGTTGTAACATTCAAAAAGACACTGTAATATTAATGGTGACTGCCGTCGAGGCTCAGCAATGAAGTGAGTCAGGCAATGCCATGCTTGGGCTGCTACCCTTGCGCAGTATGTCAACCCCATCCTATCCCGATGCGTTGCCCAGCCGCCCCAAGCCAATTGTTTCCCATCGGCATGTGAGCAAGCGAAGGCAGAGTGCAACTGTTGGGCTGCTAGCAAAAGTTTAAGACTGTGCTGCTGTTATGCAGCAGGCCGATAAAAAAGTGAGGTGGGCACCGAAGTGCATTGCTGCCAGCAACGATCATGTAGCAACGCCCCGCTCGGAGCAAGAAGCAGTTGTGACTGAACGTAGTAAAGTGTGAGACGTCCCTCTGGCCTGTGTAAGCCCCCCGCATGCCAGCAGTAGGCCCGTTCTTCGGTTCCTCGGTGGAGGGCGCAACCGTTTCGTCTTCTTGTTGCCAAGAGTGTGGGGTACGAAGCAAGGTCTGATACAGGCTGTGTGCAATTGTTGGGCTGCTACCCTTGGGGACTTATACACAATTCTTGGGCTGCTACCCTGAGTCTCTCAACAAAGTCAATTGTTGTAGTGTACTAGAGGCTGGCCTGAGTAGGTTGGCCTGCTGATGGATCACCATGGTCCTTGGGGTGAACTGTGTTCAGGCAAACATACTAAGGCACGTATTGGGCTGCTACCCTTAGGCAACCAAAAAATGTGGCGATACGGTATGCAATTTTTGGGCTGCTACCCTCCTCCTCCTCCTCCTCCTCCTCCTCCTCCTCCTCCTCCTCCTCCTCCTCCTCCTCCTCCTCCTCCTCCTCCTCCCCCCCTCCTCCCCCCCTCTCCGACGTTGCATTTTTTGGAGTGGTTTGGGCCCCTGGGTATCTTGGCAACTTCCCTGGGGCTGACCTTCCATCAAGCAGAGTCCTTGGCCGCCCTAGGGCCAGGAAACAGCCCCCAGATGCCGCAGGCGTGCGCAGAGAGGTGTGCCACCGCAGAGTTTTGCGCGACGCCCTGATCTATGCCCCCTCCTCCTCGTCGTCCTCCTCCTCCTCCTCCTCCTCCTCCTCGTCCTCCTCCTCCTCCTCCTCCTCCTCCTCCTCCTCCTCCTCCTCCTCCCTTCTTCCCCCGCCTCCCCCATCCCATCCTCCTCCTTCCCCCCCCCACTTGGATTGCCAAGCGTTGCACCCCGCCGGGTTGTCCGTTTGTCCGCCCGTTCGTCTGTGTGTCTGTCTTCCCGGCTCTCTGAGCCGCGGCGTTTTGAGCTTCGTAGCTCAGGGGCGCGTCGGCCACCGCCGCCCTCTCCCTTGTTGGTGGCCCTGACGAAGTTGGGGGAGAGGGTGCCGAAACGCGCCCACAATCAAGCAAGGCATGAGGGTGCAAACCCGATTTGTCAGACTGATGCTCCGGCGGGGCCCGTGCTCAGGGGAGGCTGCAGTATCGCTCAACGATGTGCTGCTTATCCGAACCTGCAGGGTAGGCCCTTTCCCACATGCGTGCCTCGGTGCAGATTGCGCGCCTCGTCTCGGTCGTCGTCGTCGTCGTCGTCGGCGCCGTCGTGGTCGTGGTGCGTGTTGCTCTGCTCTGGACTTGTTTCCCTCATGCACTGACCACCCACTTGGATTGCCAGGCGTTGCGCGCCGCCTGGCTGTCCGTTTGTCCGCCCGTTCGTCTGTCTGTCTGTCTTCCCGGCTCTCTGAGCCGCGGCGTTGTGAGCTTCGTAGCTCAGGGGCGCGTCGGCCACCGCCGCTCTCTCCCTTGTCGGAGGCCCTGACGAGTTTGGGGGAGAGGGTGCCGAAACGCGCCCAGAGTCCAGCGAGACACGAGGGTGCAAACCCGACTTGTCAGACTGATGCTCCGGCGGGGCCCGTGCTCAGGGGAGGCTGCACTATCGCTCAACGATGTGCTGTTTAACCGAAACTGCAGGGTGGGCCCTTTCCCACATGCGTGCCTCGGTGCGGATCGTCTGCGCGCCTCGTCTCCGTCGTCGTCGTCGTCGTCGTCGTCGGCGCCGTCGTGGTCGTGGTGCGTGTTGCTCTGCTCTGGACTTGTTTCCCTCATGCACTGACCACCCACTTGGATTGCCAGGCGTTGCGCGCCGCCTGGCTGTCCGTTTGTCCGCCCGTTCGTCTGTCTGTCTGTCTTCCCGGCTCTCTGAGCCGCGGCGTTGTGAGCTTCGTAGCTCAGGGGCGCGTCGGCCACCGCCGCTCTCTCCCTTGTCGGAGGCCCTGACGAGTTTGGGGGAGAGGGTGCCGAAACGCGCCCAGAGTCCAGCGAGACACGAGGGTGCAAACCCGACTTGTCAGACTGATGCTCTGGCGGGGCCCGTGCTCAGGGGAGGCTGCACTATCGCTCAACGATGTGCTGTTTAACCGAAACTGCAGGGTGGGCCCTTTCCCAAATGCGTGCCTCGGTGCGGATCGTCTGCGCGCCTCGTCTCCGTCGTCGTCGTTCGTCGTCGGCGCCGTCGTGGTCGTGGTGCGTGTTGCTCTGCTCTGGACTTGTTTCCCTCATGCACTGACCACCCACTTTGATTGCCAGGCGTTGCACGCCGCCTGGCTGTCCGTTTGTCCGCCCGTTCGTCTGTCTGTCTGTCTTCCCGGCTCTCTGAGCCGCGGCGCTGTGAGCTTCGTAGCTCAGGGGCGCGTCGGCCACCGCCGCTCTCTCCCTTGTCGGAGGCCCTGACGAGTTTGGGGGAGAGGGTGCCGAAACGCGCCCAGAGTCCAGCGAGACACGAGGGTGCAAACCCGACTTGTCAGACTGATGCTCCGGCGGGGCCCGTGCTCAGGGGAGGCTGCACTATCGCTCAACGATGTGCTGTTTAACCGAAACTGCAGGGTGGGCCCTTTCCCAAATGCGTGCCTCGGTGCGGATCGTCTGCGCGCCTCGTCTCCGTCGTCGTCGTTGTCGTCGGCGCCGTCGTGGTCGTGGTGCGTGTTGCTCTGCTCTGGACTTGTTTCCCTCATGCAGTGACCACCCACTTTGATTGCCAGGCGTTGCACGCCGCCTGGCTGTCCGTTTGTCCGCCCGTTCGTCTGTCTGTCTGTCTTCCCGGCTCTCTGAGCCGCGGCGTTGTGAGCTTCGTAGCTCAGGGACGCGTCGGCCACCGCCGCTCTCTCCCTTGTCGGAGGCCCTGACGAGTTTGGGGGAGAGGGTACCAAAACGCGCCCAGAGTCCAGCGAGACACGAGGGTGCAAACCCGACTTGTCAGACTGATGCTCCGGCGGGGCCCGTCCTCAGGGGAGGCTGCAGTATCGCTCAGCGATGCGCTGGTTAACCGAACCTGCAGGGTAGGCCCTTTCCCAAATCCGTGCTTCGGTGCGGATCGTCTGCGCGCCTCGTCTCGGTCGTCGTCGTCGTCGTTGTCGTCGGCGTCGTCGCGGTCGTGGTGCGCGTTGCTCTGCTCAGGATTTGTTTCCCTCATGCAGTGACCACCACCACCACCCCTCCTTTTCCTCCTCCTCCTCCTGCTCCTCCTCTTTCCTCCTCCCCCAATCCCCGCACGTAGGTCGGATGAAATTCGTGGTCGGTTAGCTCGCTCGATCGTCCTGTTGCTGTAAGAACCGCGCTCTGGCAGCTCGGGCATGCTGTGCAATCAACATCGGGTCAACATTGGCCTGTCTCCGAATCGAGTTGTGCAAATACAAACTTATAACGAGAGGTTGCACAGCAAGGAGTCTGTCCTCACTCGTCATGGCTCGGGCGATTCCCAATCGGCGATCAAGGCTGACCCCACACGAAGCAGACGAGACCCACACGGAGCATCCCACAACAACGGACAAGACAAATAATGCCTCTGAATGTCACTCTCGCCAGGGCAACCGAATTTGCAAACAGCGTGGACCTGGAGAACCCTCCGCTCCGTCGTCCACCCACCCGCCACCGTCTTTAATGCCGAGGCCTGCCAAGCTGGGGGAAATCCAATCAGACACTCTTTGAGCATCTGCCAGCTGCACACCGCTTTTGCCTGCCTGGACGGGGGGCCTCGAGGCCCATTTCTCGAGGCGCTTGAAAATGGTGGCACCCAAATCTTCTTTGAAAAGCTCCAGCTCGCGGACCCGCGAAATCGTCCTCTGCACAAGGACCCGAATCCCAGGAGACAGCAGCTGCGCCTGGCAGAGGGCGTCAAAAGCAACTCTGACAGGGGCACGGAGGCGAGGGCAAGCAGGGAAGCCATCAGCAGCGGCCGCGAGCTCCTGAACGAACGACGGCTCGACCCAATGCGCTGGAGACCACCTGTCCTTGAGCCGGGAAGTCACGGGCAAGTGGGTCCTCACTGCCTCCTGCTGCTGCTGCCACAGTCCACGCCAGTTGGTGATTGTGCCCCTCGCAGACCTCTAAAGAACCGACACAGACTGCACACGCATCGATTGGGGTCTGAGACGGGACCACTGTCGAAGGGCGAGCAGTTGCTCCAAGGGGAAAGTATAGGCAGGGAGATGCAAGACCTTGTGGAGCGCCCACGACTCCCATCGAAGAATGGGCCAGGGCAGGGGAGTAAGTTGGGAGAGGTAGCTACACTTGGACACCGCACGCGAATTATAAAGGGTCACCGCTATCGAGGGGTCGGCCTTTGTCGCAGCAGTGTCTTTAATCACCCCCACGCACCCTCTGAACGCACGAAACCACACAAACTCTCGGGTAGCTGCTGGGCCGATTCACACCCCAAGATATTCAGCGGTATCAGATATGGAAATCTGGGCCCATTGAAGGACATACTGGGTGAGCTTTTCACGAACAAGACCTTCCAACCGCAGTGTGAGAGGACCCGAGACAGAGATTATGTGGAATGTTGGAAGCTTGAGGCAAAGGCCTGCAAACAGCCTGGCCGCATAGAACGAGCCCGGCAAACGCACCAGCGCAACAAGCTCTCTCACCGCCACCCCCATGTCATCCGCACAGGCCCCCACCTCCGATCCTGGATGCTTGCGCAGCCTGCTACGCATGTCGCGAATTAAAGGGTACATCACAAGCGCCCACAAGCTTCCACTCGCAGGGTCGCCCTGCATCAGCCCCGATCCCACAACACAGAACACAGAACCGCAATGGCAAGCCCTGCAGTGCAACACATGCTGAGGCGAAAGCATATGTGGCCCTCAGAAAGAGACGGAAGCCTTCAGAGAGACCCACCAGCTCCAGAACGCGCCAACGAAGCATGTGAATCAGAGAGGGGAAAGCGTTCCCAACGTCGAGGAGGAGGATGAGGAGGAGGGAAAGATTCGAGGCCGCATTCGGGAGCATACTGGAGATCCTAGCAGAGGTCTCGAGCAAAATTATATGGTCTAAGAACTTTATACCCAAGACATATCCGCGCTGATCGCGATGTGCATCCTGAGTCAGGATGGGCTTCACATGATGATTGCACGCCGTAGCCAGAATCTTAACATCAGTGCTCTTTAGCGCCAAGGGTCTGGTCGCTGCAGATTCTCTTACCACAAAAGCCGCATCCTCAGCAAGTCGGCCCTCGGGGGCGAAAACGAGGAGAAGCTCATTCAAATCCACAGGCGGCGGAAATCCCGAGAGCAGTTCCAGGAGGAGACCATCGAGCACGGGCGCAGCTATCTTCGCGTTCTTCCACGCCGCGTACGGAAGCCCATCAGGACCCGGGGCCGTGGGAGAAGCACGCTCACGAGTGCGTCGCAGCATATCTTCAGTGGGCGGACTCATCTCCGACCAATCAAAAGCCTTGATTGGCCTTCCGTCAACTGGTTGTTGACTGCCCCCAGGGCCCGAACACAGCCGCCAGATGCCGCAGGCGTACGCAGAGAAATGTGCCACCGCAGAGTTTTGCGCGACGCCCTGACCTGAGCCTCCCCCTCCCCCTCCTCCTCCTCCTCCTCCTCCTCCTCCTCCTCCTCCCAATCCTCCTCCTCCTCCTCCTCCTCCTCCTCCTCCTCCTCCTCCTCCTTCTCCTGCTCCTCCTCCCTCCTCCTCCTCCTCCACCTCCTCCTCCTCATCCTCCTCCTCCTGGAGGCAGAATGCGTGCCCTTTTTCCTGGGCCGGGGAGCCTATCGTAAAGCAGCTCCGCGATGCTGAGAGGACGGGCGGCGCCGAGGCGGTCCTGCGAGGGGAAAGAGGCGGAGAAAGGGCAACCGAATGGGAGGACGTGGAGAGGAACGGGGGGGGAAAGGAGGGGGATGGGGGGGGGTGAGGCGGGGGAAGAAGGGAGGAGGAGGAGGAGGAAGAGGCGGAAGAGGAAGAGTGGGCCGCAGAGTCTAGGGGGCGAGGGAGAGAGGGAGGGATGGAGGTCGGAGGGGGGGGGGGGGGGGAGAGGCAGGGGAGGAGGGGCGGAGGCAGAAGACAAGCACCCCTCGCCGAGTTCTGCCCGAGCAGCCGGCTGGCGACCAGAGAAAGGCAGGCCCGCGACCGAGGGCACCGGCGCGAACCACGGCACCCGACGTGGGGGGAGCAGAGATATTTCGAGATAGCGGACCGCTGCTGTGCCGGAGCGTGCTCCGACAGGGATTCCGGGGCGGGCCCGGGCGCAGCCGCGAGGGCCCCACGGCGAGGCCCCGAGAGAGGCGGGGCACCCGGGCGTCCGAGGAGGCGCACGTGAGCAGTGCGAGGCCCCACGGCCCCGCGTCCCTTGGGGGGGCAGCTGCTCAGCGCGGAGCCGTGTGTTTGAGAGTCCTGGGGCCCGTAAGCAGCCCCCGGGGTTACGTTGTTCCCGTCCTACTTAAGGACCGCATCCCAGAAGTAATCTCGAGCACCCAGAAAAGTTGGGCGCCCGAGTTCTCCGGGGTAACTCGGGTCCGGGGCAACTCGGGTTTGGGTTCCCGAAAAACGAACCCGAGTTATCCCTGACCCGAGTTATCCCTGATGATTCGGGGCTCTGGACGCCCGAGTTATCCGGGGTAACTCGGGTCCGGGGCAACTCGGGTTCGGACTCCCGAAAAACGAACCCGAGTTATCCCCGACCCGAGTTACCCCTGATGATTCGGGGCTCTGAAAAAGTGTCAACAGAGTGTCGAAACAGTGCCGAAACAGTGTCGGGCGAGTGTCTCCTAGGGCCCGGCACGTGAAAACCCTTGAGTTTCGGTACTTTCCTGGGCGCTCGAAATTCTTCCTGGCGATCAAAGCTAAAGTAGGTTGGAGCATCATAACCCGGGGGGCCGAAGTCGGAGAAAACCGCATGGGGGTTGGAGAACCAAACAGAGATGTCGGATGTCTGGGCGGCGTTCGCTATCGGCATGCGCTTCTGTCCTGTAGGCAACGACGCACGACTGGTACAGCTGCAAGTCGGACTTCGGAAGAAAACGGCTGGGGCTCAGAACATGGATGTCTGCACACCCGACTGATGCCCCAGCGGGGGTGCCCGATACCCCGGCAGGTTCGTGTCGTGACGATTCTGGCGTGTGTTCCTGACACCGCGTGAATCGTTCCTCCTGGAACGATCGGCAGCCTTTCGACCGCCAGACCTTCCCATATCGGCGAGAGAGCGTGATCCACTGCCGCTTTACTGTGGAAGATTCCCTCCCTCTTCCTCCAGAACCCGGGGGTCCCCCCCCCCCTCCGAAAATCCCCCCCCTGCTGGACCCCCCCCCCCCTCCCCCGGCAAAACCCCCCCTCCACAATTACTCAATATGAATATTACTCTCCCTCTTCCCCTGATGGCGTGCTGGGAGTAGCCGACCCCCCCCCGCGTCCTGCTTTTTTACACACAGGATTCCCGGGAGTTGGGTGTTTCGCCTGCATTTGTTTCAAAATGCTGCTCTCGCTGAGGCACTGGCCTCATTTTCGGGCCCCGCTCGTTCCGAATCGTGCTCCCGCTGCAGCGCTGCCCTCATTTCCGTGCTTCCGCTCGTTCCGAATCGTGCTCCCGCTGCAGCGCTGGCTTCATTTCGGCGCTTCCGCCCGTTTCGACTCGTGCTCCCGCTGCAGCGCTGGCGTCATTTCCCGTGCCATGCCACAGCACACGCGCACGCACGCACGCACGCACGCACGCACGCACGCACGCACGCACGCACGCACGCACGCACGCACGCACGCACGCACGCACGCACGCACGCACGCACGCACGCACGCACGCACGCACGCACGCACGCACGCACGCACGCACGCACGCACGCACGCACGCAACGCACGCACGCACGCACGCACGCACGCACGCACGCACGCACCACACACACACACACACACACCACACACCAACCACCACACCAGCACAGCACCAGCACCAGCACCAGCACCAGCACCAGCAGCACCAGCACCAGCACCAGCACCAGCACCACCAGCACCACCAGCACCAGCACCAGCACCAGCACCAGCACCAGCACGCACCAGCAGCAGCAGAGCCACCACCACCACCACCACCACCACAACCACCACACCACGCACACACGCACGCACGCACGCACGCGCACCACCACCCACTACGCACGCGCGCGCGGAGCCATAGGTCCGCTACGACACGCGTCCGCGGATAGAGAAAATCAGCGCCATGGTAAGGGATGGGAGGGAGGGGTAGGACGTCAGAGATGACGCGAGCGCACCTAGCTTGCCTAACCCCCCCTCCCCCCCTCCCCCTCGAAAACCGGGGGGGGTCACTACCGGTTCGAACCCCCCCCCCCCCTCGAAAACCGGAGGGGGGCCACTACCGGTTCGAACCCCTCCCCCCCCTCACCGCTAGCAAACGACTCCCGGTCGGTCCCAACCACCGTCCGCACCACATCCCCACTGTTGTTCCCAGCGCCACTGTCCTTACCACCACTGCCCCCACTGGTTCCACCACCGTCCCTACTGTCCCCACCAGTGCCCCCCCCACTGTCGCACTGTCCCCACTGTCCCCACCACTGTTCCACTCTCTCCACTTTCTCCACGACCCCAACCACTGCCCGACTATCCCCACTGTCCCCACTGTCCCACTGACTCCTCCGCTGTCCCACTGTTCCCACCACTGTCCCCATTGTCCCCTCCACTGTCCCCAATGTACCTCTATCCCATTGTCCCACCGCCGTCCTCGCCACCGCCGTCACCACTGTCCCCACCACCACTGTACCATCCACTGTCCCACTGTTTCCACCACATTCCCGCTGTCCCCGCACCACTGTCCCCACCACCACCGTCCCCACCACCGTCCCACTGTCCCACTGTTCCCACCATTGTCCTCACCACTGTCCCTACCACTACCGTCCCTACGCCCGGTGCCTGGACCCTCCCTGGAGCCCGGGGGGCCTGGGGGGCCCAGGCCTGAGGCCAGAGCCTGGAGCCCGGAGCCCGGGGCCCGCGAGCTCGCGGGGCCTGGGGTCTGACGCCAGACGCCCGAGGCCTCCTCCTCCTCCCTCCTCCCCTCCTCCTCCTCCCCTCCTCCTCCTCCTCCTCCTCCTCACCCTCCTCGATCCTCCTCCTCCTCCTCCTCCTCCTCCCCCTCCTCCCCCTCCTCCTCCTCCTCCTCCTCCTCCTCCTCCTCCTCCTCCTCCTCCTCCTCCTCATCCCCCTCATCCTCCTCCTGACGCCAGACGCCCGAGGCCTCCTCCTACTCCTCCTCCACCTCCTCCTCCTCCACCTCATCCTCCTCGATCCTCCTCCTCCTTCTCCTCGGTCCTGCATCGTCTTCCTCCTCTTCCATCTAGGATCCTCTACTGTGCTTTCCTTACAAGCCCCTGCCAAGCGCGCCGCTTGGGTGTTACAACTGCTGCACTACACACTTCCCGTCTGCCCCGCCGCCCAACCTCACACCTCCCCGCCTGGCAACAGTTCCTTCGATTCTGAATCCTCTGTCCTCGACCGCACGCGGCGTCGAGTCGCTCGCGGCGGTGAGGCCGGTGATCTCCACGGATGAGGCGTCCTTGGAGGTCAGCGCCGGCATCACGGGAGGGCGCTTGCCGCCGAGCTTCGAGAGCTCCTCGCCGCCGTACGGAACGACGTCCTTGCGGCGCCACTCCTCGCCGTCTCGCGGCTCCTGGATCCTCGATCCTCCAACTACCTCTCGATCCTCCAACTACCCCTCGATCCTTGATCCTCCAACTACCTCTCGATCCTCCAACTACCTCTCGATCCTCCAACTACCCCTCGATCCTCCAACTACCCCTCGATCCTCGATCCTCCAACTACCCTCGATCCTCGATCCCCGATCCCACATCTCTTCCTCGATACTCAGCGGAACGGGGACGAGGGAAAACACAAGGCAAGGCAGAAGGACAGCAGCAAGCGGAGTCGGATAACGAATATCAACATCGGCATAAACATAGCAATCGGGAAACATCGCAAACAGGAGAACGGCCAGGCCGCGGCTTGGAAGGGTGAGGGAGAGAAGAACGACGAGGGCCAGGAGAAGCCCGAGGTGCAGAAGTCACTTGGCGATCATCACCATAAGCATCATCATCATCATCATCATCATCATCATCATCATCATCATCATCATCAGCAGCAGCAGCAGCAGCATCATCATTATCATCATCATCATCAACAACATCATCATCAGCATAACCATCCTCCTCCTCATCATCATCACCATCATCATCGTCATCATCATCAACAGCAGCACTACCACCACCTGCAGCATCAACATCAACATCAACATCAGCATCACCATCGGCAGTATCATCATCGCCATCATCACCACTATCCTCACCTTCATCATCAGCAGCATCATCATTTAATAGCCATCATCATACTCATAATCGTCATCACCGTCATCACCTTCATCTCTTCATCATCAGTATCATCATCATCATCAGCATCATCGTCATCATCGCCACCATCTGCATCATCAGAACCATCACCATCATCATCAGCAGCACCATCATCATCATCATCATCATCATCATCATTATCATCATCAGCACCATCATTATCATCATCATCATCATCATCATCATCATCATCATCATCATCATCATCATCATCATGGCCACCATCATCATCACCACCAAGAGCAGCAACAACATCAGCATCATCACCACCATCAGCAGCAGCATCTGTATCGGCATGACCACCCTCATCATCATCACCATATTCATTCAATGACAGAATCATCATAGCCGTTCTGACTCATGCAGTTGCTGAATCACTGGCCCTTCGGGCGCATTTGCGCCCCAGTGCTGCTTCCTTCCGTTCTCTCTGGACTCTCGATCCCCATCGTCGATGATCCTCCTTGCAGGAGCAACAGAGGTGGCCGGCGTAGAAGGAGGGGACGTCTAACACCAGTGAGTTTGTTCTAACCAGCCAGGGAAGGGGCCTTGTCTAATGGAGGGTGCTGCACAAGGCACCGGACCTGCGCAGGGGGAGGGGCGCGTCTAGCACCAAGGATCGTTTGAAAATCAGCTTTGGGAGAGGCCATGTCTAATCCCGTCAGCCCTCTAGGGCGTGAGTGGTTCAGAGCGTTTCTTCATCCAACCCCTTTCTTCCCCTTCGGGGAGGGGCTTACCCCTCCCCCTCCCCCCAAGAAGGCATCGGCGAGAAGGCAACGATCATTGATTTGATTTAGGTTTTGGGACCATGTTGGCACTCTGGGGTGGACGGGGGACCCTGGTATGGTATGGCCCCAAATGGCCCACGAGGCTCGATAGAATTCTCCAAGAGGGCCCCAAGAGGCCCCCAAGAGGCACCAAGAGGCCTCCAAGAGGTTCGAAGCTCCCACGAAACCCCCAAGAGCCCCAAGAGAATCCCCCGAGGCACCCAATACACTCTAAGAGGTCCCAGGACCGCGGAGGCCCCCAAGGCGCTCCAAGAGGACTGACATAAGCTTTCAAGAGATATCCGAAGAGACTCCGAGTGGCATCCAAAAGAGCTATGGCCATTCTGCTCGCCCTCCTCCTCCTCCTCCTCCTCCTCCGCCTGTTACTCTTCTTCCCCCCCTCCACCTCCACCTCCCCCTCCTCCTCCTCCTCCTCCTCCTCCTCCTCCTCCTCCTCCTCCTCCTCCTCCTCCTCCCTCCTCCTCCTCCTCCGATTCATCTTCCATCCTCCCCCTCCTGGGGTATGACGGCTTCCCCAGCCCGCTGTTCCACGGCATGCCCCTCCACATCCCTGATCAGGGCAACTCGCCTGGGCATCGTTTTTTGATGGGCTGGTGGGTTTATGCGAAGCGTCCAGAATAGAGGGTGCTGTGCAGGAGTAGGGGCACGTCTAGTATCAAAAGGGATGTGTTAAATAAGTTTGGGAAGGGGCTCGCCTAGCAGAGGGTGCTGCGCAGGGGCCTGCGCAGGAGGAGGGGCACGTCTAGCACAAAAGAGCTTTGGGGCGAGTCTGCTTGGGGAGGGGTCACGTCTAATGAAAATCAGTGGTGTAGGAGGGGCACGTCTAGCATCAAGGGTCTTCACGAATCAGCTTGGGGAGGGACCTTGCCTGGCAGAGGTTGCTGCGCAGCAGCAGAGCCCTGTCAAGGGGCAGGGGCACGTCTAGCACTGAGGAGATGTTTCACCAGCATGGGGAGGGGCCTTGTCTAATCGAGGGTGCTGTGCAATAGGGGAGGCCTGCGCAGAAGGAGGGGCGCGTCTAATATCAAAGGAGATTTCTGCACAAGCTTGGGGAGGGTCTTGCCTACTTAGCAGAGGGTGCTGTGCAGCAGCGGGGGCCTGCGTAGGGTGAGGGGCACGTTTAGCACCAAGGAGTTGTTGTTGTAAATAGCGTTGGAAGGGGTCTTGTATGGTAGAGGGTGTTGTGCAACAGAGGAAGCCTGTGCAGGAGGAGGGGTACGGCTGGTATCAAAGGAGCTGTTTGAATCGATTTGGGGAGGAGCATGCCTACCAGAGGGCACTGTGCAGCAGAGGGGGCCTGTGAAGGGGAAGGGGTACGTCTAGCACTCAAGAGTTGTGTTAATATTAGCTCGGCGAGGGGCATTTTCTAATAGGGGGTGCCGTGCAAGAGGAGGGGCACGTCTAGTATCCAAAGAATTTCGAATCAGCTCGGGGAGGGGTTCTCGAATCAGCGTTGGACAAGGGGCACGTTTAGTACACAGAAATTGTCTTTTAATCATCTTAGGGAGGGGCCCTGTCTCACAGAAGGTGCTGTGCAGCAGAGGGGGCCGGTGACCGGACAGGGGCACGTCTTGTACCAAGGAGTTGTTGTTGTTTTTTTTTAATTTGCGTTGGAAGACACCTTGTCTAGTTAAGTGTGCTGCGCAACAAAGGAAGCCTGCGCAAGAGGAGGGGCATGCCTCGTATCATAGGAATTGTTTGAATCGGCTTGGGGAGGAGCTTGCCTAGCACAGGGTGCTGTGCAGCAGAGGGGCCTGCGTAGGAGGGGCGCGTCTAGCACCAAGAAGATTTGTTTACTTTGCTTGGAAAGGAGCTTGTCTAACAGAGGGTGCCGTGCAGGGCGAGGGGCACGCCTAGCACGTCAGAGTTTTTGATTAATCAACGGGGAGAGGGGTCTTGTCTAAGGGAGGGCGCTGTGCAACAGGGGAGGCCTTTGCAGAAGGAGGGGCGCGTGCTTGGGGAGGGGCTTGCGTGGCAGAGGGTGCTGTGCAACGAGGGACACGTCTAGCACCAAGGACGTGTCTTTCTAATCATCTTGGGGGGGGGGCTTGTCATACTCATAGAAGATGCTGTGCAGCAGGGGGGGGGGCCTGTGAATGGAGAGGGGCGCGTTTAGCACCATCGAGTTGTTGTTTTAATCAACGCGGGGAGTGGCCCTCGTTTCATAGCGTGTGCCGTGCAACCGAGGAGGACCGTGCAGGAGGAGAGGCCTGCCTGGCATCAGAAGATCTGTTTGAAATCGGGTTGGGAGGAGCTTGCCTAGCACAGGGCGCTGTGCAGCAGAGGGCGCGTCTAGCACGAAGGCGCTGCTTTTCTCCTCCTCCCTCCTCCTCCTCCTCCTCCTCCTCCTCCTCCCTCCTCCTCCTCCTCCGCCTCCTCCTCCTCCTCCTCCTACTCCTCCTCCTCCTCCTCCTCCTCCTCCTCCTCCTCCTCCTCCTCCTCCTCCTCCTCCCCCTCCTTCCCCTCCGCCTCCTCCTCCTCCTCCTCCTCCTCCTCCTCCTCCTCCTCCTCGTCCACAGTTACTCAATATGAATACTGCTCTCCCTCTTCTCCTGATGACGGTTTGAAAGTATTAGCCCCCCACCCGCGTACTGTTTTTACACACAGGATTCCCCGGAGTTGGATTTCCGCCTGCATTTTTTTCCAAAATGCTGCTCTCGCTGAGGCGCCGGCCTAATTTTCGGGCCCCGCTCGTTCCGAATCGTGCTCCCGCTGCAGCTCTGGCCTCATTTCCGTGCTTCCGCTCGTTCCGAATCGTGCTCCTACTGCAGCGCTGGCCTCATTTCCGCGCTTCCGCTCGTTCCGACTCGGGCTCCCGCTGCAGCGCTGGCGTCATTTCCCGTGCCATGCCACGGCATGCAATGCAATGCTAGGTTGATACTACGCTTTGCGGTGCTCTTCTACGCCATGCCATGCCGTGCTCTACAATGCATCGCGTACCCTTTCGGGATCATTGCCCTGCTCGACATCCGACTGTGCGAGTAGAGAGGGGATCTACGCCATGGTAAAGGATGGGAGGGAGGGGTAGGATGTCAGATATGACGCGAGCGCACCTAGCTTGCCCTCCTCCCCCTCCGCCTCCGCCTCCGCCTCCTCCTCCTCCTCCTCCTCCTCCTCCTCCTCCTCCTCCTCCTCCTCCTCCTCCTCCCCCATCAGCTTGGGGAAGGGCCGAGTCTGATGGAGGGCGCCGTGCAGGGCGAGGCGCACGATCAGCACCAAGAAGCCGTTGGTTGGCCCGCGGGGAATGGAGCCTTGCCTGAGAGAGGCTGCTGTCCAACAGGGGAGGCCTGTGCAGAAGGAGGGGCGCGTCTCCTCTCAAACGAGCTCGCTGCATAAGCTTGGGGAGGGTCATGTCTAGCAGAGGATGCCGTTCAGCCGCGGGGGACTGCGTACAAGGAGGGGCACGTTTAGCACCAAGGAGTTGTTGTTCTAACTAGCGTTAAAAGGAGTATAGTATCATAGAG